TCCAAGTCTCCGAACAGCTCACTTTCTCTCGCCTCTGCTAGTTACCCAATGGGACGTCTGGGATAGAATCAGAAACTGAGTGATTTCTTCCATGCTGCTCTCTATCTTGTCTGAATTCTCTTTATCTAGCAGATTTTTGGAAAACGTGAATGGATTTGATATGGACTCAGCTCGACGCTAAGCGCTGTTCTTCCTCTTGTTACGCGTCTGCTTTGCGATGACTTATAAGTTGTGCCCTCTTGGTATTTCTTAATTGCTGCAGCCTTGGCTTCTCTTCTCCCCTGGCCTCTCTTTATCTCGTTCTCAAAAGCTTCAGTTCACACCCGATGTCCTTGATCTGCCGCAGCCTTCTATTTGTCTGTCCTGGTGGGTTTTTTTTTTTAGTTTTCCCGAGGATCTGTCAAAACCTTTCTGTCCCGACGGTGTAAACTAGTCTTGTTAAGGATTCCAGTTTTCGTTCAGCGGCACATTGAAGTGTTTTCTCCAGTATTCCATGAAGGTCTTTATCTAGATCTTTCCAGGCTTTTTTGTCTGCAGTCTTGGGCCAAAATATTCTTGGCTTCCTTGGCAATTTATCCTCCTTGAGAGCTGTCGTTGAGGTGGCGTGCAGTAAGTCTCGAGTTTATCTCTGGGTCACTGCGTTTCTAGTGACGCTGATTGTGGTTCGCCGTCATCAAATACTTCTCCTTTTACCTCAATTTTTGAACGCTGTGTGTTGGTACTAAGCTCCTCAGTCGCCGAGAGGTCACCAGTACTGTGGGTTTGTCTCCGACTAGGACCCTCCCTCGTCTCACCAGATATAAAACCTGAGCGCTGCTGCTGACTGGCAGTGTGCACCAGATATAAAACCTGAGCGCTGCTGCTGACTGGCAGTGGGCCCACGAATACTCCAATGAGGGATGCTACCCCTTCACCGTTTTGTATACAGCGTGTGCTTCTAAACACCACAGGCTCATCAGCTGTGAGCCGCAGATCAACAAGTGTTCCATCCTTTAATTCCAGGACACTTTCCGGGCGGTGGAACCGCAGTGCTAATCAGGCACTACTGGTCAGTGGTAAGCTGCCAGCTTTCCTCCCTTTTGACCAGCAGTCAACTGAAAGCTTTCTCTGCCGACTTTCTCAATTACTGTTGAAACAGATGGCATGCCCGTTAACCTAATTAGTTGGGAGTGCGGCATGGTTCTGTTCTAAGTCTACTGTTGATATAATTATAGGTGTTCGAAAAGGTTCTGTTCTTGGTCCAAAGTTGATAGAGGTAAAGACAACAGAAGAATGCACCTTTTCAATTTACAATTTGTCAAAAAAATCAATTACACTGCATCTGACACTCTCCGGGCGCTGGAACCGCAGTGCTTATCAAGCACTACTGCTCAGTGTTGGTTAACTGCCAGCTCTTCTCCCTCTTGATCCACATCCAGTTTGATGCTTTCTCTGCTGATTGTCCAAGTCTCCGAACAGCTCACTTTCTCTCGCCTCGGCTAGTTACCCAATGGGACGTCTGGGATAGAATCAGAAACTGTGTGATTTCTTCCATGCTGCTCTCTATCTTGTCTGAATTCTATTTATCTAGCAGATTTTTGGAGAACGTGAATGGATTTGATATGGACTCAGCTCGACGCTAAGCGCTTTTCTTCCTCTTGTCACGCAGCTGCTCTGCTTTGCGATGACTTATAAGTTGTGCCCTCTTGGTATTTCTTAATTGCTGCAGCCTTGGCTTCTCTTCTCCCCTGGCCTCTCTTTATCTCGTTCTCAAAAGCTTTAGTTCACACCTGATGTCCTTGATCTGCCGCAGCCTTCTGTTTGTCTGTCCTGGTGTTTTTTTTTTAGTTTTCCCGAGGATCTGTCCAAACCTTTCTATCCCGACGGTGTAAACTAGTCTTGTTAAGGATTCCAATTTTCGTTCAGCGGCAAATTGAAATGTTTTCTCCAGTATTCCATGAAGGTCTTTATCTAGATCTTTCCAGGCTTTTTTGTCTGCACTCTTGGGCCAACATATTCTTGGCTTCCTGCGCAATTCCTCCTCCTTGTGTGCTGTCGTTGAGGTGGCGTGTAGTAAGTCTGAATTTATCTCTGGGTCACTGCGTTTCTCGTAACACTGATTGTGGTTCGTCGTCATCAAACACTTCTCCTTGTACCTCTATTTCTGAACGCTGTGTGTTGGTACTAAGCGCATAAGTGGCCGAGAGGTCCCCAGTAATGTGGGTTTGTTCTTGATTAGGATCCTCTGTCGTCTCACCAAAAATTAATCCTGAGTGCTGCTACTGACTTGCGCCCACGAATACTCCAATGAGGGATGCTACCCCTACTTGACCAGTTTCACCAGTCTATTATTGGTTGTCATCTAGTCTTTCCGAGAAGTCACTGTTTTGTATACAGCGTGTGCTTCTCAAAACCACAGACACATCAGCTGTAAGCCGCAAACCAGGACACTTTCCGGGCAGTGGAATCGCAGTGCTAATCAGGCACTACTGGTCAGTGGTAAGCTGCCAGCTCTCCTCCCTTTTGACCAGCAGCCAACTGAAAGCTTTCTCTGCTGACTTTCTCAATTACTGTTGAAACATATGGCATGCCCGTTAACCTAATTAGTTGTGAGTGCGACAAGGTTCTGTTCTTAGTCTACTGTTGATATAATTATAGGTGTTCAAAAAGGTTCTGTTCTCGGTCCAAAGTTGATAGAGGTAAAGACAACAGAAGAATGCACCTTTTCAATTTACAATTAGTCAAAAAAATCAATTACACTGCATCTGACACTCTCCGGGCGCTGGAACCGCAGTGCTTATCAAGCACTACTGTTCAGTGGTGGTTAACTGCCAGCTCTTCTCCCTCTTGATCCACATCCAGTTTGATGCTTTCTCTGCTGATTGTCCAAGTCTCCGAACAGCTCACTTTCTCTCGCCTCTGCTAGTTACCCAATGGGACGTCTGGGATAGAATCAGAAACTGAGTGATTTCTTCCATGCTGCTCTCGATCTTGTCTGAATTCTCTTTATCTAGCAGATTTTTTGGAGAACGTGAATGGATTTGATATAGATGTTGTGAACCGAGTAATCTTATGGAGTTACCTGATAGTCTGTGACCGTCGGGTATCGGCGGTAACAGGGAGCGGCGCAGGACAGGGTCCAGGGACGTCTGTGCAGCTCGGTATGTCAGGTATATCTCACTGGCTGTCACCGTCCTGGCTTCCAGGGTCAGCACAGAAGGTTCCCGAAGGGCACTTCCGGTACTCGGGGTTCTTGGGAGTTATCCACCGACAGCCTAGCCGACCGGCTCACCACACTCCTCCCCGTTTACTAGAAGCTGTCCACAGTTATCATAAATAAACACAGTATCAATGGCCATTCTAAAAATTGTCATTGCGGCAGGGACAGTTACATGCACAAAGCAGCCAAAGCAGCAACAGCATATACAGATGAATATATACATTATACACAGATATGTACAGATTATTTCCTCGACATCTACCAACTTCACAGACTGTACAATTCCCTAGCATTCCGATTTGTTGTATACGCCACCTCCTCCACAGATACACCCATCATCCTGGCCATACATTCAACTATGGGGATAACCTGCAGGGGGATCCCAATCCCCCATCATGAGGTAGGTAGGGGGCGTCTGTCTCTACAATAATCCTTCCCAAAGGGAGATGGCTGAAGAGAGACTTATATCGCTCCCTATTCCTTTCCCTCAGTACTAATGGAGAAATGCCAAACTTGCAGTTTGGGAATCTTTCCTTCCAGGACTTCAGCTCTTGGGGACTTCCGTCGAAACAATGCCTATGAATCCTGTAATCCGTGGGGAGGTTCCGAGTTAAGACATCTAGGCAGATATCGCTGGCAGTCTCCCCTCGACAGTGTATTACCAGGGGCAAGTTGGATTTGACCGCCAGCTCTATTTGTCTCTTGAATATAAATTCCTGTCTAGGCAGCCTCCCCATTCCATTAAAGGAGTCGATGCCGCATTCCCCCACAGCCACCACGCCCTTAGCAATAACTAGCGATGGCAGAGTTTCTCGCACTGTCGTTGGGATTCAAACTTCAGGACCTTGGGATGTAACCCAAAGGTCATACGTATTCTCCCATCCTTCCGTATTCTATCCCTTTGTGTGGATGAGGGTCATTTCAAGGGGAAACAGTAATTAGCAATCCCAAAAATCATTTCAGATTCCCCCCAACCCTCCTTTGTGAGCTCAGAACGACCGGTCCTCTTACACAGCATGTCCAGGTGGAAATGCGAGTCAATGTAGCCCACTGGTGGATCCTCCAAATTTGGGTACGACTGCTCCAGTTCGAGTATGTGACCCGGTGCCTCTGTCTGTTGGATTAATATTGCCAACACTTTCCAGTGGAGTATGGCTATGTTCCCACAGGGATTCTCCTCCTTGGGCAGTGGATTCATCGATAGGAAGACATTTGTCAACCCCTCCTCCTCGGGTAGGAACACTATTTGTTGACAATTAGCAAAATTTGGATCTTCTTTTACATGCTCAATTATAGACTTCAATGACCTGAATCCCAACTGCCTTTGAATTTCCCTTAGAATTCCATTCATCAACTGGCCCCACTCCTTGTCTTCTAGGTCGCACTTTGTTTCATTCCCTTTATGGAAATCTTGGATAAGTATCCTCTTTATCTTCACCTGGCCAAATTGTATCTTACAAAGGCTGCATGCCGAGGATGGACAGGCAAACCATGGCAGATGTGTTCGCAGCACATGTCTACGCGGATGCGAGAACCGTCCTGGGCAGACTGGACACTCTCTCCCCCTACGCCGGCCTGTTGATCTTCCCGTCACGCATGGAATCGGTGGCTCATTCTCGACATCCTCATCGTAATCCGGCACAAAATGCTCTTCATCCCCCAGGTCCATATCTATATATACATACATATATATATACATATATATACATGTTTAGTAGCAAATCTGAAAACACTATATACAATTTATATCAATTATTAACATGACATATATATACATAAGTTCCCATGTCTATCCCCCTCCTCAGTCCTGCACATAATCCCTGAGATACTGAGGCCTCCGACATTGTCGTCTGTGTGGTCTCTCTTCGAGCTCCTCCTCATCCAGCTGATAAATGAATGTGTCATCCGTATCAGAAGTCACCCCCACATCCTGGATACTGTCGACGACAGTCCTCCCTGCAGATGTCAAAGTAGGATTCACAGCCAGCGTGCCCGTCTGTGTACCCGCCTCAAACAACCCAGAGAGATCTGGCACATCCGCGTCATCCTCAATGTCTGCTGTTGATTCCTCTGGTATGGAGATCAGCCGATTCCGCATTCGTCTAAACCAAACAGGGTAGATGTCGCTGTTGTATAGCTTCAACCGATCATGATGGACTATCATCTCCTTTTTCCTACCTTTGATTCTATACAACACTGGAGACTTCACTTCAACCACCAGGAATGGTCCGTTCCAGGGTTGCTGCAGCTTTGGGCTACGTCCAACTTTAGTAGCAGTATCCAGCTTGAATACAACATCCCCAATGTCATAATGACGTTGATGCGCCTTGACGTCATAGTCCCGTTTTTGTCGAAACTGGGCTTCCCGCAGATGTTCCCGAGCAATCATATGCGCTTTCTGGCCTTGTTCAATCACTCCGCTGACATAGTCTGCAGTGGTCCGGATGCTTTTGCCTTCTGTTACCACCGTTCCCAGCATCAGATCAATTGGCTGATTGACCTCTCTCCCCAGCATCATCAGATTAGGGGTGAAGCCAGTCTGACGATGCTGGGTGGCTCTTATAGCACCCGCGATCTGTTGGAGATGCTGGTCCCACTCTTGTTGTTTCTGGAGATAACACCGAATCATCTGCAACAGTAGCCGATTGTACCGCTCGACTTGTCCATTCGAACAAGGCCTGTAAGGTGTTGTCCTAGTCTTCCTAACTTCTAACACCTCACATAGGTGCCGTACCACATTCCCGTCCACATTCCGTCCTTGGTCTGTGTGTAATTCCAGAGGGCAGCCAAACCGGGAAATGAATTCATCCACTAACACCCTTACGATTGTCTCAGCATTTTGATCTGGAATAGGGTGACATTCCACCCACTTCGTAAACTGATCCACGATTACAAGGATGTATTTATTTCCTGCTTTGGATACTGGTAATGGCCCGAGAATATCCATATGTACACGCTCCATTGGAACTCCAGCATGGTATTGTCCAAGTTCCGCCCTCNTGAAACCTCTATGTACGGAGGTAAAGAGTTTTATACGTGATGATATAGAATGTTTGTCTCATTTGCCGAATCAAGTTAAGGAGGATTGTAAACTTGTAACTTTTGATGTAATAAGCTTGTATACAAATATTCCACATAATTTGGGAATTGAGGCCATTAGCTATTGGTTGAATAAATGTCCTGGAAAAGTAGATTCTAGATTTGATAAACAATTCATTGTTGAAGCAATAAAAATTGTATTGGAAAACAATACGTTTTGTTTTAATGGTAATTTTTACCAACAGTGTAAAGGTACTGCAATGGGAACAAAGGTGGCCCCTACCTATGCGACGCTTGTCCTTGGGTATTTAGAAGATAAACTTTATACAAATGTTAAAAACACATTTAGTGTTACTTTTGCAAATTATTTTAAAGACAACTTTTTGAGATTTCTAGATGATTGCTTTGTTTTTTGGCCTCCAGGTGAGAATCTTCTGGAATTTTTCAATATGCTAAATGCCTTGCATCCCGATTTGAATTACACAATGGAGTTAAGTGAAAAAGGAATACCTTTCTTGGATATTTTTGTAGAAATTAAAGGACAAAATATTATTAGCGATATATATTGTAAACCTACAGATTCTCACAATTATTTGGATTTCTTTTCAAATCATGCTAAACACACTAAGCTTAACATTCCATATGGTTTAGCATCGAAATTAGTCACGGTTGTTAGCGATAAAAAAATATTAGAAGATAGATTGGACGATTTGAAACTTTATCTTAAAAGCAAACGTTATCCTGCTGAAGTGGTACTAAACGCCATACAAAGAGCTAAAGAGAAAGGCCCTGTCAGTGTTAATTTAGAAAGAGCTAACACCAAAGATGCTGATATCATACCATTTGTTACTACTTACAATCCAAATAATTGTAATATGTTTCCTGTCGTTAAACATTTTGTAAATTTTATGAAAAACAGTTAGAACATGAAGTGTATTTTTGATAAGAAGAAGATTATAAACTGTAAAAGACAACCTAAAAACTTAAAACGTATACTATGTACATCCAAATTTGATATGAATACCACAAATGTTGTCACTGGTGTAAAAAAAATGTAAGAAACCAAGGTGTGGTACATGTAAAATTATCATTGAATGTAAAGACTACGTTTTTGCAAATGGTTCCAAAATAGAAATTAGATCAGACATTAACTGTAATTCTAAGAATGTTATTTACTCTTTAATATGTAAACAATGTGGTGAATTTTATATCGGACAGACCGGATGTGAATTGAGAATACGAATGAATGTACATAGACATCAAATGAAGGACAATGAGCTAAGATTTTTAAAAGTTAGCAAACATATGCATCGATGTTCTAAAGATGATTTTCATGTGTTACCTATTTACAAACTGAATAGCGACGATGTAATTGCAAGAGAAATTAAAGAAAATATGTTTATAAAAGTCCTCAAACCCAGCCTGAATGCACAATGATTTTTGCAATGCATTGTATGTAGATGTTTTCTCTGTCTTGGTATTGTTTGTGACGTCACTATGCTTGTTTATTTTTGACGTCACTAAAATTGTTGACTATACAAATATTGATGACGTCATGTAACCAACGGTGATAAATAAACATCAATCCGCCTGAAGAAGCCCTAGAAGGCAGAAAGGCCTAGCGGACGATCTGAAAAAAATGTTTTTATTCTACATTTTCCTTCGCAAGGACTTATTTATTTATTATCTACTACATACATATATATATACATATATATACATGTTTAGTAGCAAATCAAAAAACACTATACTATATACAATTTATATCAATTATTAACATGACATATATATACACAAGTTCCCATGTCTATCCCCCTCCTCAGTCCTGCACATAATCCCTGAGGTACTGAGGCCTCCGACATTGTCGTCTGTGTGGTCTCTCTTCGGGCTCCTCCTCATCCAGCTGATAAATGAATGTGTCATCCGTATCAGAAGTCAACCCCACATCCTGGATACTGTCGACGATAGTCATCCCTGCAGATGTCAAAGTAGGATTCACAGCCAGCGTGCCCGTCTGTGTACCCGCCTCAAACAACCCAGAGAGATCTGGCACATCCGCGTCATCCTCAATGTCTGCTGTTGATTCCTCTGGTATGGATATCAGTCGATTCCGCATTCGTCTAAACCAAACAGGGTAGATGTCGCTGTTGCATAGCTTCAACCGATCATGATGGGCTATCATCTCCTTTTTCCTACCTTTGATTCTATACAACACTGGAGACTTCACTTCAACCACCAGGAATGGTCCGTTCCAGGGTTGCTGCAACTTTGGGCTACGTCCAACTTTAGTAGCAGTATCCAGCTTGAATACAACATCCCCAATGTCATAATGACGTTGATGCGCCTTGACGTCATAGTCCCGTTTTTGTCCAAAATGGGCTTCCCGCAGATGTTCCCGAGCAATCATATGCGCTTTCTGGCCTTGTTCAATCACTCCGCTGACATAGTCTGAAGTGGTCCGGATGCTTTTGCCTTCTGTTACCACCGTTCCCAGCATCAGATCAATTGGCTGATTGACCTCTCTCCCTAGCATCATCAGATTAGGGGTGAAGCCAGTCTGACGATGCTGTGTGGCTCTTATAGCACCCGCGATCTGTTGGAGATGCTGGTCCCACTCTTGTTGTTTCAACACCGATAACACCGAATCATCTGCAACAGTAGCCAATTGTACCGATCGACTTGTCCATTCGAACAAGGCCTGTAAGGTGTTGTCCTAGTCTTCCTAACTTCTAACACCTCACATAGGTGCCTTACCACATTCCCGTCCACATTCCGTCCCTGGTCTGTGTGTAATTCCAGAGGGCAGCCAGACCGGGACATGAATTCATCCACTAACACCCTTACGATTGTCTCAGCATTTTGATCTGGAATAGGGTGACATTCCACCCACTTCGTAAACTGATCCACGATTACAAGGATGTATTTATTTCCTGCTTTGGATACTGGTAATGGCCCGAGAATATCCATATGTACACGCTCCACTGGAACTCCAGCATAGTATTGTCCAAGTTCCACCCTCGCCTTCACGTCCGCCTTCTTATTTTGGTTGCAGACCCTGCAAGATGCCACATGCAGTTTGCATTACTGGTTCATACCATACCAGATAGTTCGCCTTTTCAATCTCTCTAAGGTCTTGGCCTGCCCCAAGTGACCTGACGATATATGATCATGGCCTAACTTGAGTATTGCTGGCTGCAAACTTTTCGGCGCCATAAACAGGAGTCTTGTTGACATTGGATCCTCCCAAGCATAGTACAAAATATTATTCCGTACACGTAATTGGCTTCTGCAGGACCACCAATGTCGTGTTCCCCGACTCGTCATTTGGAGATCTCGCTCCGATGGCACGACGTCATTATCCAACCAGGCTAGAATTCTCCCCAAGTCTGGGTCTTTACGTTGTGCCTCAGTAAGGTCTTCCTCGGACCATGCTTCCAACCAGTTTGCCGGGACTGTCTCCCCCAGCTTCCTCACCTTCCTGGTCACTTGTCTCATGGAAAGAGGGACTACGTAATCAATCTCAAATGTTTCCCATTGATTTCATACTCTTGTGCAATACTTGCACCCCCCGCAAGGCAATTGCTCAAGACTGACCCCAGGTAGGTAGTTATTGCAATCTGGTAAGTTATTGGGCATCCGGGATAATGCGTCAGCATTACAATGTTGCTTACCAGCCCTATGTACTATGACCATATCATACTGCGACAACTCCTCAATCCATCGGGCCAGCTGTCCCTCAATGTTTTTGAAGCTGAGAGGCCATGTCAGGCTGTTATGGTCTGTCCGTACAATAAACCGCCGACCTAGAAGATAGTGTCTATATTGCCGGGTGAAAGTGACAATGGCCAGTAGCTCCAGTCGGGTGGTACAGTACTTCCTTTGTGTTGGGCTAAGTATCTTACTAGCGAATCCAATTGTACAATCCTTACCATCCTGTGTTTGACTTAGCTCCCCTCCTATCATGGTGTTCGAGGCGTCTGTGTCAAGAATGAAGACCTCTTCCGAGTTTGGGTAGGACAAAGTCACCGCGTTTATGAGAGCATCGCGTAGCTCCTCGAATGCGTGTTGATGTTCATCCCCCCAGACAAAATCCTTTTTCTGCCCTGTCAAACTGTGAAGAGGTGCTGCAATCCCTGCAAGTCCTTTAATGTGTTCCCGATGGTAATTCATGAAGCCTAGAAAAGATTCAACTTCTTTTTTGATTGTTGGTATCCCCCACTTTTTTACAGCTTCAACGTTATCAGGGTTCACAGAGACGCCATCTGCTGTGACCAACTTCCCTAGGAACTTCACCTGTGTCTGGAACAAGCTACATTTCTTAGGTTTCAACTTCAGGTTATGTTGCTTAAACCTCTCTAAGACTTTTGTCAGATTACCCAGGTGTTCTTCAAAGGTTTTTCCAAGAACGAGAATGTCATCTAGGTAAGCCAGACAAATGTCCCAGGATAAGCCATGTAAGACGAGCTGAACTACCCTCGAGAATGTCGCCGGGCTATTACACAACCCGAACGGGAGCCGCAGATGTTCGAACAAGCCGTATTTAGTT